CTGTTGATGAGTCTGTTGAATTTATAAGTGGCTGTGATACAGGCAAGCAAATCTGAGGAAGGAAAGTGGTGTGTGTGAGTGAGTGAGTGAGTGAACTGTCCTCCTCCATCTCATAGTAATTTGGGATTAAGCTGGCAGCTCTGAGTTTGCAAGCTGAATGTAAAATCTAGAAATTGAATGTTACCAGGAAATCAGGGATGATACTGGTCCTCTTTTTCTTCTTTCGCAAAATTCCTCTCCCACCACAATTTAAAACAAACACACTGCACAAACCATGCACACTCCAAACACTTTTATTTGGAGACAAATCTAATCAACTTGAGGAATAAATAAATTCAGCATTGGCACTCAGCACATTATCTGACACATTCAAATCTTAAGCCTGAAAAGCATTTTTAAAGTTTGGGTTTCAATGGGAAACAAATAACAATGGACAGGCCACACTGATCTGAGGCACATTGAGTCTGGGGGGACAAAAAACCTCCAAATGACATGGGATTAATTCCCAAGCAAGCATGCCTTCAGTTTTAAGATACGTTACCTTTGGGTGCATTGTGCCCACTGTACTGATTTAAGAGAACATTCCACCCACTTCATTGGAATGAAATTCTAATTAAGGCTGCAGTCTTACATTTGTCTAGCTGTGAGTAAATTCACTGAAAACAGGGAGGCCTTCCAAGAAGCATGCACAGGATTGGGATACATGGAAAGCCTGCAGTCCTAGAAGCCCTTTTGGGAAAAGGATTACAGCAAAATAGAAGTCGGATTCTGGACACTTTGTAAACACCCTTTCTGTACCGTTATCTACACGCAGAAGCCTCTCCTCTGGGCCAGGGAAATCTGCTCCCACATCAAAGGAAGCAGGATCTTCTGCAGAGCCAGTCGGAGAGGCAAAACTGACTCCAGATGTCACTTGCAAGGGACAGGAATCCTAAAGTGGTCAGTTATGGGAAATACTAAGGCCACAAAATATAGCAAACCCTGTTACCTTCCCAGCTGGGAAGAGAAAAAGGCAGAAACGGGAAAAGAATTTAACTTACAAGCCAGGGATATGTTTCCCCAAGAGCTGCTCCTGAGGAGGCTCCCAGAGAGGTGCAGACCAGGCCCTCAAGAAACGCCTCGGACCTCACTTCTCCAAGCAACTTCGGCGGCTGGCTGCTTTCTCTCCTGGAGACGCTGCGCTGTGAAGGCTGCGCTCCGGCCAATGGCCCTGAAAGAGATGGCAGGCTTGTTCCTAGGAGCTCCTCTCCCCCCCCCCCCGCTTTCCTTGTC